AAAATATTGCCTATTCAACAAATACAACAACAAATTAATGTTTTGGGTGTTGACTGGGAAGGAAGGCATATAAAATTAATTATTTACTGCAATGGACAATAGAATAATAAGATGTGGTAATAGAGTTAGTTTTTCCCTCTTGCACCCCAGATAAACGTTGTCCTTTATTCAGAACACAGTGAATTTCAAACAGGTTTTGTTCTATGAATATAATTAAGACATTTTGAAAGGCTAAAACAATTTAAAGAAATACTAAAATGTCAGAGCATAATCCTACATACTTAAATGGAAAAATTCATTGACACAATAGATGCACAAGGATAAAACTGGACAGTGCAATTAAAAAGAATGTTTCGAAAGATCAAATACAATGCCTATAAATATAACCACTAACGCACAAATGTCCACCAGATGGAGTCAGTGCATTTTTAAAAAAAATTAAAATTGTTATTTAAATTATGGATTTGTGCCTGATATTTAAAAAAAAATTCAGTGGGAAGTAGACGATGTACAGAAAATATATCATCCATGGTATGAGTCCAGTTAATGAGTCTGTGGATGTCAGACTAATAATTCTAGGCCTTCCCGCACTCATGCCATTGGGTGGTTTATTTTCAATGTGCTTTTATCAGACAAATTACTGTCCTTGAATTAAAGTTCAGAGTTCATAAATAACAACTGGATTGGCCACCAGAGAATTTGCTGTTGATGAGAATTTCCCACATTACAGTCAAAGAGCGCCGAACCGCAGCAGACAAAAAATATTATTGTTTTGAATATTTGCAACTTAAAAACAAAAAAAAAAATTAGTTTCACGACATCTTTCATTCAGAGAGGCAATCTTTTCTGAGATAAATTTTGAAATTGTTTCTATGACTGACAGCAGACTGTTTATTTATGGAGGAGATGCTTTTTCCAAGCTTGACCCCATTCACTAGTCAACTGACGCATAAATGGCTCTATGTGAAGTACTTTTCAGGCTGAAAAGTAAACATCTTGTGATCAAATGTGCAAACATCGTAAAGGATGACCTTTCAAATTCTGGAAATCAGGAGAATAAATTTCTGTATTTCCTTTTATGTACTTTGATTTCCTCAAAACTTTAAGTAAGTCGAGTATTGTTTACAAATCAATACAAATTGTCCCTTAAATCTGGTTATTAATCATTTGCCATATTATGGAGGCCAAAGGTTCACTTACATCTGAGGGAAAGACAAGTGGAGGCCTAACCATTTGACCTCAGAGACAATTGTCATTTATAAGATGATGTATAAATTGTGGTCAGTGTCTCAGATGTCTCACTTAATCCCCAGCACTCTACAGTGTCGTGCATGCAAGCTGCCAGGACTTGGCAACTTCCTGCTTTCACTCCAAATTACTGTGTCTTCTTGAGTGTTTATCCCAGAGGTGGGTCTTTGAATCCTCTTTAGGTAGAAACTAACATGCAACTTACAACCTTTAGGATTCAAAATATGTGACTCATTTCTGCCATTTTCTCAATCTTGGGCTAATTCAAAATTAAACACGTCTCTTAGTGGTCCCATCCTTTGATGCTGATGTCAGCTTCTGGTATTTTCACTTATCTAAAATCTTAATCTGTTATCTTCTCTTCAGATTTAATTAATCTCTCCTTTTGCTTCATTTCTATGATTTTCCTTTAAGCGTCCTTAATTTTCTTCTGTATTAGACCCAATGTTTGGTTTATGTCAATTTTTTAAAAATCCAATGATCCATGCGGGCCCAGCCTACAACACAGTTTAGCACATGGAGGAATGAAACAAAATGTAATCAGGGCATCTATTTATTTTTTCACGGGTTTTCATGAATGGAGAGTTTGGGGTTGCTCACAATCCTTCCCAACTCTCAGAGTACAATGGTGTCTTGGCGAGTGGCAAAATGGAGAATATGGGACAGCACCATAAGCTCCTCAGCTAGATGGATTTAGGCATCCTTGCCACCATCCTCAGGTGCTAGTTAGACTCACATCTATAAGCTTTGATAGGCGCCGAAGTACTATGAGGCAGAGCAATATTCTGCAACAGAGTAAATCAGAGCTATCATTGTAGCATAGAATACTATATTTCCAAACCCATTGTCTAGTTTTGGGTCTGAAACACAACTGAAGTTAGCTATCTTTTAGTTGGACATCTTTATGTTGAATCCCTTTACACCTTCAACCATTTGCACCTTGAATTTAATAGGTTATGGACAATGTCGCCCAAGGGTTGTCTGTGCACCAGCTACATCTCCTGGTTTTGTATGTAGAATCTGCATTCTTCTTCAATACATTGACAATATATTGATCAGGAAAACAGCCCTGGATGCATTCTAAGGCACCTTCCCCACTATCCCAGTCCACAGTGAAGGGTCAATGATAATAATACATGTATTCACTTCAAACCTCTCTAATTGTCAAGAAATATCTGCAAATACCATACAGATCCTTCATTAATTCTTACAATATAGATACTCTTTCCAAGCACCAACCTCAATAACCATTTCCAGATGTAACAGCATTGAGCACAATCCCTCTTATTCAATTTTCTTTCTCTGTCTTCTGACAATTTTATAACCAGGCATATTTGATTCACACGGGCAGCTCTGTTAAAAGCAAGTTTCTGTCATGACTACAGCATGTCCTTCAATTCTGAATATTATGTCTAGTTCCCTGTTTTATTTAAAATATTTTGCGCATTGGTGTATAACCACTGTAATCCTGATGCATTTCTCATTCCCTTCTCCTTTTTCCCTTATTCTTTTCTTCAGCGTCATTCGTCTATTTTATCTGCTTTTTCCCATTTTGTACAATTATTTTTAATCCTTTCTTCATCTTTCTTGCCTTAAGGTTTTATATTGGCTAATTTTAACCTCTCCAAGGGCTTTACTACAATTCCAATCTTGAGTTCAAATAAAAGCAAAATACTGTGGAGGCTGGAAATCAGAAATAAAGACAGAAAATGCTGGAGAAGCTCAGCAGGTCTGGCAGTGTCTGTGGAGAAAAGATGCAGAGGTAATGTTTTGCTTCTGATTTGATCCTTGTTTCTTCTGAAAACATTTTATAGAATTTGAAACATTGAATCTAACATTTTGAGTTCAGTATAACATTTCTAAAACAAACAAGAGTCAAATCAGACTCAAAACATTATCTCTGTGTCTTCTCTTCCCTGCTGAATTTCTCAAGCATTTTCTGTTTTTATTCCATTGTTGAGCTCATCTTGCTCTAGAACTCTTCATTCTGGAGAAATCTGAAATTCCCCCTTCGAAGTGATGTGCCAGCTTTTTGGGGATGGGCTGAATTTTATTATCCCAAGCTGGTTTAGCACATAGTATCAGGAGTCATCCTGAGATTACTACGTTGGAGGTCCTGCTTTCTAAGCATCCGAGTCCTTCAAACTCCCTTGGGGATATCTCAACCTTATCTTCCTGATGTCACTGACTCTGATGCAAGCCATGAGTTTGGGCTGCTCGTGCTCTCTCCTCTGTTATGAAACTTATCCCATCACATATAAAGTTAAAATACCATTTAAGCCTGGCAGCTGTGGCTGCAGTAAAAGTTATCAATCCCAATCACATGTTCCTGTAACTTTCCACAACATCTTTCATCATAGAGTATTACTCATTTACCATGAACATGTCACTAAGAGCAGGCAATTTAATCTAGTAGTTTCCAAACTAAGGTGAGAACACAAACAAATTCTACCTCAAACCCTTTCAGTTGGCTGGAAGCTTTACCCCTTTATTCTTAGTTGGATTTCAACAGGAGACCAGGAACTGTTTAACTTGTCATTTTAAGAATTGAAAGGACAATGAAGTAGCCTGTGGTGCCACTCACCCTATTTGTAGATTGTGTCGGGAAATAACTCATTCTTCATATTAACCTTTAGCCTTTGTCAGTTAGGTATTGTAGGTTTCAGTTAGCAGACTGGAAATGTCAGTTCCAGTGAAATTAAAAGCCAAGTCAGGACATTCTGTCACCTGTCTTTTTTCACACAGCATTGAGAGCCGACACAGATCTCTCAAGAGTGAGATATTATGAAAACGGTTTGACAATCAAGTCGAGAAGCTGTAGCCTTGCTCCAACGACAGCTATGTAACATTCAGAGAGAGAGCTGCTGTTCTCTTTGGCAACTCTGAACTGCAAGCTCTAATTAACAGGGCAGTTAAGGTGAAGGCCTGAGCAGTGATTCTTGTCGCAAGTTGTTGCAACTAATGGGATGAAGTAATGGAGAAACATGTGAAATCTTACAGAGACAGAGTGAAAGAAAGATATTCAAAGAGGGCTGTAAAAACTTGGGAATTGACTGGATACCAGCCAGTTGGTCCCCTTGACCTTAATACTTGTGTTGTGGTGAATTCTCCAGTAACTTGTTTGGCTGCAAGTCTCCCAAGTACATGTGTAATTACAGGTCGTAATAGTTATCATTGTATACGCAGTTATTGGTAATAATAATTATCATTGCGATTTAAATTTCAATGAAAGCCTATAAATGCCTTTGAATCATATTAGCATGTGTAATAACATATAAATCTATTATCAAGAACATTCACTGCCTAACAAAACTACTCTGTAAAAAAGAAGTGCAATACAAGATTGACCTGTAGTCAATCAGGTCTGCAATAACCATGTCTGTCACTGTAGAGTAAAGGGTTAATTATGCCTTTACTCCTAGAATAGCTACTAAGCATGTGTGAAAGGAGCTATGTCATATTGATGCCATGTCACATGACTCTGGAACCAGTGTCTGCAAGAATGCAAAGCATATCCTCCTTTGCTATACCTTCTAACAAGTTACATTCATAAAGTTGTCAGATGAGCATTGACCACATCGTTCTATTGTCATTGGATTATGATTTGCGGATTATAGACCTTGGAGGGTTTACAAAGACTAAATATTCACTTACAGCATATTGAAACTTTTCGTTATATTCACGGTTGTTAGCTATCACCCTCCGCTCCTCCTCTGAAAGACAAAAAAAAAGTGATTCAAAACATACAACCACTGTTACTCATGTCATCAGATTGTGGGGAACCAGATAATACACAGTTGTAGAGAATCTATACCACCTCAATTAGAGTCCAAATAAGAATGCTCCTTAATTCCAAAAAGTAACAAATCTCAAAAACAGTTTTTTTTTTAATCCTTTTGGGTTGGAGAATTCATCATAATGCCTGCAAATCACACAGTCAATATTCTTGTTAACTTTATGTCCAAGTTTGCTTCAAGCAAACACCACAACTGGTACTCCGTTTTCAAGCACTGACACATGTCAGTCCATCTAAAGGATGAGAAGGGCAACTTTTGAAGAAGTTTCAAAGAAGACTCTTCTTCAGGACTGTCTTCTGGATTGACTCTTACTTGAGATTCTTTGGATTTGAAACCTTGATTCTGATTCTTTCTCCCATAGATGCTGTTGAGTTTCTCCAACATTTTCTGTATAAATTCCAAATTTTCAGCTTCTGCAATTTACAGCCCAAATAATATTTGCCCCAAAGAGACAGACCATTTCCATTTAGTAGTACAAAGTTGGTGGGTTCAATCCATATGGAAGGTCTGGTTCTGCCTATTTATCATCAAAAGGAATGTTGCACCATCAATGGGTTTTGAAGTCACTAACTCCACAAATTGGATTCTGCAAAAGTAGGAAGAGCTACCAGGGAGATTTGTTTCTTCTAAGAATTCATTCCCATTTTTAACTTTTTTCCCCCAGCTTTTCCCAGATTAGAGACTAGGCAATGGCAACATCCCACATATCTGTGACAGCCTCTGGTTGGCTGGCAAGATTCCAGTGCATTGGGCCACAGACTTGTCAGCACATTCCCGCCCTGTTTAAAGAAAAACTTTCACAGACTTAATTTAGTCATGCCCAAGTTGCAAGGCACATGTCTTCCATACAGTTTTCAGGTAGAAAGTATTAGGATTAATCCTAATGTGCAGCATTAGTCAGTTAGTCCATTCATGGACACTAACTTTAGGAGGAGGTGTAAAACTAAAAAAAAAGTGCAGTCGTGAACAAGTTGTCAAAACAAAACTTAGTTCTGAAAGGAAGTGTCAGCAAGAAGTATTTTGTTCATAGGTAAATGTAGGCTTGATGTACGAAGAATTCATTTCTTGTTTGCAAGTAGAAATCATGGAAAGAAAATTTTATACTGAACACATGGTCAAATAAAGCTGGCACATGAATTAAAAACAGGACACATTGCAATCACACACATAATGTAATAGTAGACATTGCAGACCTTCTTGTTCATTTTAAAGCAATCCAGCTACTGTTACTAAATAAATAAATACTGCTGTACAGGGCATTTGGGAGACCACATCTGGAGTACTATGTATAGCTTAAGTTTCCTTATTTAAGGAAGGATATAACTGCCTTATAAATTATAATTGCATTTGAAACAATGCAGAGAAGGCTCACTTGACTGATTCCTGAGATGGAGGTTTGTCTTGTGAGGACAAAACAGACAAGTTGGACCTGTATCCTTCCCCGAGCGGGAGTGGCTAGAGCTAGGGGACACAGTTTTAAAATGATACATGTCCCATTTAAGGAGGAGACTGTATTTCTCCTTAGAGGGTCCATAGTCTGTGGAATTCTCTTCCCCAGAAAGCACTGGAATAAAGGTCATTGAATATTTTTAAGCCTGAGTTAGATAGGTTCTTGACTGACATCTCTATAGTCCAAGAAGATAAGGGGTATGGAGGACTATAGAGATGACAATGATATCAGCTACATTTCTCTTTGAACAATGGGGCAGGCTCAAGGTTTCAAGTGGCTGACTCCTGCACCTAATTTGTATTTTGTATGTATGCTCTATGCCAAAATATTTTAAACATGAGATATTAATGCCTGTGTTAAAGTATGTGGTGAAAGTTTACATGTCACTATGAAAAGAATTGCCTCCTCTTATAATTATGCTTAAAAATACTGCCATCAGAAGGTTAACTTAGACCTTTTTTTTGACTAATTTGACTTTTAATGCCTTTTGATGATTGGCTGAGTAGAAATCAAGCCACAAAAAGGTAGTGCTGCATATTATTTTTCTTTTGAGAGTGGAGGCGAGCTGAAAACTGAGAATTAATTGCAGGGGAAGGGGGCGTCTGATTGCCTCATTGCATATGCATGCATGAGTAAAATGGCAAATTGTACAGCCAGGAGTTTCTGCCCCAGCTTCCAGAATCTTCTGGCCACTATATTTAAAAAGGCAACGAGCTGCATTTCATTCCAGGAGCATCAATCACTGTAGCCCACCATCAGAAGTGTCAGGGTCCAGGTAAAAGGCGGTGCGGTGCTGTGCTGCGAGGCTCTCCTGAACGCTGTCCAGGATAGGAAGGCAGCTGTCTGATGGATGAAGGCAGCTTGAATGGTAGGTGCATGGGTCAGGAGGATGCAGGAGGATGATGCTGAGGGCACTGTCAGGGTGCACGCCACTATCTGCTCCAATGAGTGTGAGCAAATATTGTAAAGTTGCAGCTACAGAGGACTATCACACAGGAGGCTGGCTGCTAGGCACCTCCATCACAAAACCTCAATGCCTGTCACTACATTGCAGCTACCCATGCCAGTCTCACTTCTGCCAGGTTCATGTTTAAACATAAAAAGGAGCTACGATACTCAGCAGCTCATGCACTATCAGCTTCACTGACCTTTCACCCCAACCAGGCGAATGTACACAACTGATAGCTTTTGACCAAACACTCAGAGGGGACAAGGAGACAGCCACAAAAAGTAGGTTTGGACCAAACACCTGACAGGTATCACAGGCACATGCATCAGATAATGCAATAGCTCTTTAAAGACACTGACCTTTCATTAAGAAATCTAACTCCTGACTTCCCTTACACCACTTTCCTCTTACAAGTAACGCACACGGACATTCGCGCACTGGAAAGTGACATCTCTCTCATTGTCTTTCAACACAGACAAAGAGTCATATATCCATACTACTATCTCTTAAAGCTGTGCTCCTTCTGCAGGGGAATAACAAATACGCTAAGTACAAGATATGGGGCTGCTCACCGTGTCAAACAGCAGGCCGCTGAGCTAGCAGGACAGCAAGACACCCATTCCCGTACTGAACAGGAGATTGGATATCTACAGCCATCGAGTGAGAGGGACTCCAATCTCCCACTCCCATCTGTACATGAAGCAGCATTGTCTTCATTAAAATGTGGGGGCTCAAGACACAAACAAGTCTCACTGTATTTTTTAAACACTTCAGCCTCTGGATCCCATTTCTGAGCAAAGGAAAAGAAAGACCTATCCCTAACAGCCCCACAGACCACAACATTGAAGAGGAATGGGCATGAGTTTCAGAGACTGCACTCCCACACTCCTCCAGCACTGAGTCATTTGCCTCGATTTCATGTAGGCCCAAGGTGAGCACAGTATTGACATGGGCTCACAGTTAGAGGACGAAGAAATGGCACTAACTCTGAAGATTGCTGGGGAACAGGCCCCTGCAGAGCCTACTATTGATGATGAATCTCTAGATGCAGCCATTCATGAGCTCAGTGAGATGGATAAGCAAACACGGGGATGTCTGGCAGAGATTATCTGCACACTGAAGTGAAGGGCACAGGAGGCTGCCCAGGTTCTGTCTGTTACAGTTGTGGCAATGTGAGTGCGTAGCTGCCACCATGAACTGGGTGCCAGCTGCTGTGGGCACTAGGCGCAGAGGAATCAGTATCAGACAGGTACGCATACGGACCTTCACCCCATTGCTCCAGCCATGCATTCATTCATTCATTCCCTACCAAGGCCAGAGGGATTCCACGGACTATGACATGAGGGAAGCACCACTGTGCATCAGGTAGGCAGAATGGGATTAACATCCCATGACACGCCAGACATAGCCTGCCACCCCATCCCTCCCCTGCCAAATGCCCCAATCAAGTAAAGTTGAGGAGGTCACTACTGCTAACTCTGTGACCCCAATCCACCCTCTCCAACATCCCAACTTTTTCTCTCTATTCGCCAGGATCCTTCTAGTGCCAATGACAACCACGCCCTTCACATTCTATTCTCTACCATTTCTTCCCATCCTTAAGTGAACCTCAGCACCCCACTCCCCATTGGTCAGTCACTGCTTGCCCACCCTCGTCTAGTCCGTGGGTGTCAGCCAATGTGGCTGGTTGACCTGGTCAGACTTCACACCTTATGCTGAAAATGTTGGCATGAAGTAACACCTTGGTAATGAAGTTTGTATTGACTGGTGTTTGAAGGAAGATTGATTGATTGACTGACTGATTTATTGTCACACATACCGAATACAATGAAAAGCTTTGTTTCAGAGTGGTGCAGGCAGATCACAGCAAACAAAGGATATGCAGATCAAAAAGACTTGGAGACGTACAGGTTACATTATTTGAAGCTACAGTCCATTCAACAGTCTCATAATGGCCAGGAGGAAGCTGTTCCTGAACCTGTTCAGGTTTCTGTATCTGCTGCCTGTTGGAAGAGGTGGTAGGAGGTCGTTACCAGGGTCGATGGGTCTTTGACAATGTTGGCTGCCTTTCTGCGGCAGCGAGCCATGTAAATAGGGTCCATGGACGGAAGGTTGGCTTCTGTGATGGTCTGGGCTGCACACACCACCTTCTGTAGTTTCTTACTGTCCTGCCATACCAGGCTATTATGCACCCGGACAGTATGCTTTCAATGGTACATCTGTAGAAGTTGGAGAGGGACCTTATGGAAATGCCAAATTTCCTGTGCTGCCTGAGGAAGAAGAGGCATTGTTGTGCCTTCTTGACTGTCACATTTATGTGGGAAGTCCAGGACAGGTCTTCGATTATTGTCACTCGAGGAACTTGATGCTCTTCACTCTCTCAACCTCAGTTCTGTCGATGTTGATGGGGGCATGTTCTCCCCCTTTCTTTCTCAAATCAATGATCAGTTTTTTAGTTTTGCTGACATTGAGAGACAGATTGTTTTCATTGCACCGCGTCACCAAGCCCTCTATTTC